ACTTAGTGGGGGGTGAGGGGTTTTAGGCTGTCCTGTTCTTAGCTGGGGGCCTCCTATCCCACCCCTGCCTGCCTCCCACCCAAGGCCTTGGTGCTCAGAGGTGGGTGGTCGGTGTTAAGTCCCCCCAGGCCTAGCCAGCAGGGAGCTGGGAAAGGCCTTGACCTTGGGGGTGAGCTGGGGGGGTTCCCAGAACAGCTGTGTCCCTTGCTTCTCAGCCACTGGCTCTGATCCGATTAATTCCATGGCCTCTGCTGTTCCTAGCCAAGCTGGATGTCTCTGTGTCATGTCTGCCCCCCCTCCTGGTACCAGGGGAATGCCCTCAGAGGACAGGTCTAGCCTCTCCCCTGCCCTGGGCTGGGAGTCAGGACTCCTGGATTCTCTTCCTACTGACTCACCAGAGCCAAGCCCTATAGCCTATCTCAGTTTCCCCTTGTGTGACAGGGAAAAGGCCCTGTCCTCTCCCCTGGCCTGAGGGGAGTGGATGAAGGGGAAGATGTGAGCGGAGGGAGGAGACTCAGCTTTGGCTGGGAGTGCCAGGGAGCTGGGAGGACTAAAGAGAAAGGCACTGGCATGGTGGCAATCCCTCAAACCGCCCAACCTCCTGCCCTGCTAATGGCTGAAAAATAGGAAGGGACTGGCTTTCCCTCCTGATCTGGGGCTAGCGTAATCCCCAGATCAGAGCTTACCTTGGTCATGAGGGACCCTAAGTCTCTCACCCTCCAAAGGGGCTTGAAGACTGCCCACTGGGTAGTCAGTAGGAGAGGTACTGATCAGGGTCCACCCCCCCGCCACCTCCCAGCTACATATATCCTGGATGCTCACTGAAGCCATTTGCAAAGGGCTGAGGGCTCCCACTGGCAGCCCCTGAGGGGCCAGGCCTGGCATCAAGGTCACCCAGCATGTGGGTATTGGGGTCCTCAATCCTGACTGGAGGGAGCTGGGCTGGGCTGCTGTGGGTGGCCTGAAGCAGCATGATGTGGGGTCCCTGGGCCAGACCAGTTGTGGCCAGGAGGGGGAGGGGCTGCTTGTTTGTTGATGCTAGGTCTGGGCCTCAGCCAGGGCAAACACAGCCTGGAGGCCTTTCCCCGCCACCTGCCGAATCTCCCAGCCCAGCCTGTGGTGGCAGGACAGGGGGCAGTCGGGATGGGACTCAGAGCTGCCGGGCGCCTTCTCCTGGGGACCGGAGGGAATGTCCGTCCATGTAACACAGTGGTGGGGGCAGCCACCTGGTGTGGAGGGGAGGGGGCTTTATCTCAGCTCTCAGCACAGACCCCGCCACTACTCCCCCATCTGCAGAAACTGAGACACAGGCCCAACGGGCTGCCAGACACGTGAAACAGAACTTAGGGTCCCAGCATCGCTCAGACTCTCCTTCCAGGGTCCTGGCAGCCCTTTGCTCTCCTTCTCCCTCTTCAGTCATGTCCTCTCGGTCTCCAGCTAGGTGGCCCCCTCTCACTATGTCACCACCTCCCCTGGCATGTCATCCACACGGTGCCCCAACACCCTTCTCCGACAGTGAGACCCCATCTTCACCTCCAGCCCAGTCTGTCCCCAGAGCCCAGCATCTGCACACACTGACGCCTCAGGGACTCTGCGGGGCCCTGCCTCACCCTCAGCCAGCCTCCCTGACATCCTCCCAACCTGCTTCTTGTCCCAGTTGGCCTCCCCCCACCCTACCTGGCCGGCCACACATGTTCGCGTTGTTCTCAGAACACACCAGCCCCTTCCCCTCCCTGGCCTTCTTTCCCCCTGCTTGCCCACCCTGTCCCACCTCCTCAGCAGGCTCCTACTTGTCCCTCAACACCCCCACAGAAGATGACCTCTGAATACCCTGGCCAGCTCTTCCGGTACTTCATGTGGGCCACACTCTTGCCATCCCGCCACACAGCCTCAGTGTCTCCAGGTGCTCCCTCTGGGTCGTCTAGGTGGGAAAGCTCCTGCCAGTTTGGAGGCCGAGAATCCAGAAAAGCCTGATGGAGAAGCAACCTGTGGGCTTGGCTCTGCCGAGGGGAAGAAAGGCACGTGCCCGGTTGGGGAAGAGAAAGGGCATTTGGATAGAGGAGACAGCCCGGCTACAGGAAAGCGTGAGTATGAGTGTGGGATTAGCACCTGTAGGGGGAAGGCTGTGTACGGGGTGGGCAGGACACTTGGCCTGGAGTCATGTGGGGGGTTTTAAGGCCTCATAGGAGAGGAGGGTTCTCACCTCCACGCCCCAGCGTTGAGGACCCACACCCATAGCTCCTGATTGTGCTCTGCCCAGTTTGGTGTCTGGGAGGCTCCTCTTCAGGGACAAGCAGGGCTTTAGTTGGTATAATACAGGGTGTGAAACCCTGTGAGGGACCCATAGGCAGACATTCCTGTCTAGCCCTCCCCCTGCCTGGGTCCTCAGAGCTGATGACCTCTTGGCTGAGGCCTGCTCCCACAGTTCTGGCATGCCCTCCCTTTCTCCCCTGAGATCTGGCCCCCGGCTTCTCTGGCCACTGAAGCGGCTTAATGAGCCCAGGTCACATGGGCTGTGCTCCTGCCTGTGGGGAGGGCCCAAGCCCCTAGTGGCCACCCGACCGGGCCCTGACGTCAGCGGCATTAACCGTCCACCAGGCTTGTCTAATCTCTGGTCAGTGGCTGGGCCAGGTTAGTCCCGCCAGAGCCAGAGCTGAAGGCCGTGAGGGCCCTCGGGGGCACCTTGAGGTTGCAGGTCGGGCAGGGATGGTGGTGATTGGAGGTGCCCACAGTAAATGACCCCTACCTACAAGACGAGGGTGTGGCCACTGTGCTGACTCTGGGCCTGTTCTGATCCTCTGCCCTCAACTGTGAATCAGGCATTGAGTACCCATTGATCCTGCTCCTTAGGGTATAATTACACCGGTGCGGTGAGTAGGGCCAAGGAGGCTCTGAGCTGGGAGACTCAGCACCACCTCCCACCCCCGCCCCAACCCCATCATACTTGTGGCCATAGGCAGGGCAACTTGGGGCCAGGCCCTGGCCCCAGCCCATGGGATCCAGGAATACCAGTCAGGAATCCCTGACCCTGGGGTCAGAACTGTGTGTGGAGGGGACTCCCTGGAGGGTGGGGTCCAGCCCCTGCCTGGTGTTTGGGCTTCTCTCTGCCCCTGGCCCAGGAAGGCTGGAGAGCTCATTACTTTTCTCCCAAGACAAGGTGACTATGTGGAAGACCCCATTAGCACACCTCTCCTTACGGCTTCCTCCCTTCCAAGCCTACCACTTCCAGCTCCTCAAAGCCTCTTGTCTTCCGCCTTGCCTCTCCCTACTAAATCCTGAGGTTACTCCCCTCACTCCAATAAACTGCTCAATCAGGGGGTCCTTAGTGGAGACGAGCAGCCCAGCTCAGCCAGGCCCAAGACCACCCAGTGAGGATCCTGAACCACTGACCCAAGCCCCATCTTCCCCTCAGGAACTCTGAGCAGCACCAGTGCGGCTGAGTTCCCTAACCCATCCAGGGTCCCTCTACCACCACCCTGTGCTCAGGCCTGGTCACCCTCACTCCCCCCTCTTCAGCTCACTTCAGGCTCACAGCTCTGCCCTCTACTTGGACACTGAAGATGCTGCCCACATGTTGCCTTCTGCCCGGTCCCGGGTATCTGTCTGCCTCCTGGGCACCTCCCCCAGGTGGCCACAGGTCTGGAAAGCTTAGTCTACTCAACACTCCTGCAGTCCCAGCTTGGTGGGGGCATCATATGCACTTGGTCAATAGTACAGATCCAGACCCTTGTGGCTGAGCCCCATCTGCAGATCCTGGCCCCATGGGGTAATGGGGACATAAGTCTCTTCTCCTCTCACACTGGCCTCCAGGAAAAAATGTGTGCCCCTACATACCTGTTTTCATGAAAAATTTTAATGATTACTTTTTTCCAGAAACAGAGTTGTAAAATATTATTGATGATTTTATTTCCATTAAAGCCAGGAAAATAAGATTATAAATTGTTTCACATATAGATAAAATAGCTAAGCTTAAAATAATGTTGAGTTTTACTCAACATTACTACTTCCAAATTTTTTTCAACTAATTTAATATTCTATAAAAAATTTACCATTAAAATACATAAAAACATATATAGGAGTGGACAGTTTCCTTTTGCTTCAAGCTCCAATATACAGCTCAGCAGAGTTCTCTTGGATCTTGTCTTTATTTAAAATTTTGATATTTTGCTCATCATGGGTTTTTTGCAGTGATTTTCTTTCTTTCTTTCTTTCTTTCTTTCTTTCTTTCTTTCTTTCTTTCTTTCTTCTTTCTTTCTTTCTTTTTCTTTCTTTCTTTCTTTTTTTCTTTCTTTTTTCTTTTTTTCTTTCTTTCTTTTTTCTGAGTAGGTTCCACACCTAATAATGGGGCTTAAACTCACAACCCTGAGATCAAGAGTCACATGTTCTACCGACTGAACCAGCCAGATGCCCCTGCAGTAATTTTGAATTTAAAAAGTATTGCATTAATATCTTCTTTATCTTGATTACTGAACTTTTTGGCACCACCTTAAATTTTGCACCCCAGGTGAGTGCCTCTTTTGCTTCACCCTAATCCCAGCCCTGCTATTAGGTCCTAGCTTGAAGGGCTTCCAAGACCCATCATCTTCTGGAGGAAGCCCTGGCCCTCAGGCTGGCACTTGGCACCTGCCCATTGTCTCCCCACCCCATGTCCCTTTTGCCTGTTCTTGCCCTATTGAACTATTATGGCCCACAAGCCCATGTTTCTGGGCCTTATACACCCTCCTCTCCCTGATAGAATAAGCTTCTACCTCAGAACTCCCTCTTGATCCAAGATTATCCCTGTGAACGTTTCCCACGGCTCCTTTCCCCTTAAAGCCCTCTTGAGAGGCACAGGTTGGTCCCATGTCCCCGGGAGTGCTCCTGCCAGGCCAGGCCAGGTGCTTCTCTCTGGAAGGGCCCATTTTCCCATTTATGTCCAGCCCAGCACTGGGCATTTAAGAAATGCCCATGACTCATGATAATGAACGCCTTTCCCTTCCCACAAGAAAGGACAGCTGGGGCCTGATGCAAAGGTTTATTGCTGAGTCTGTGCATCTACCTGAGGGGAGTGCAGCCTGTCATCTGGCCTTGAGAGGTGGAAGCCCCTGTCCTCGACTTAGCACAGGTCTTGGCTCACAGGCATCAGCAAGGACTCAGGGCCTGAGGAGGAACTGGGAGCAGGGATATAGGGATGTGGACCTCTGTCCCTGACAAAATTCGGACATGGCCCTCAGTTTTTCCTGCCAGGGAATGGGCCCTGAATGGAAAGCGTTCGAGAAGTTGCTGGCAGGGACAAGAGGGTTACCTGGGTTTGCTTGTGACCCCACCTGAGGTAGACCACTCTGGGCCCAACCTGGGCCTCAGTCATTTCCCAAATCCTCTGCCTGGGGCTGATCGATGGAGCTGGACTCTGCCCCCAGCCACCCCTCAGGACAGTTTGACCATTGGTCACAGCTGGTGTCAACAGTACCCTCCCTCAACAGACCATCCCCTTGGCCGGCTGGCCTGGAGCACTGTGGGTGGGTGGGGGTGAGGTAGGACATGGATCTGGTGTCCAAGGACGGCGGGGGCAGAGCCTGTGGGGGAAGGGGACAGGGGGTTACTCTGAGCCTGCTATGTGGGGAAGGGTCCAGCTTGAATCTCTTCCTGACACCCAGGAGCTCCCAGGTGTGCCCCCCGCTCACTAATTCATCCATGCAGGAGCCACACAGGCCAGAGTGGCTTGGACTTTGGACCCCTGAAGCTACTGAGAGGGACAGTCACTGGCCACTGGGTAGACAGGTGTCAGGCTTGTCACATGGAGGTGGTAAGGCTGGAATGGGCTGATGGTAAGCCTTGGAGGAGGGATCTCTGCCTGCTCCCCCGCTCTTCATGAAACTGGGAGGGAGGGCTGTTTGCTGAGCCCAGACCCACCAGGTGAGTCATGGGCCCCCTGGGGAGAGAGACCTGCAGGAGATTGGTCAGTTGGGCACTGCTGAGTCACTGTGAGCTCTAGCTATCCCAAGTCCTGCCTGTTCCTAGCTGGGGCTGGCTGGGGTGGGTCCTGGAGGCCAGCGCAGCCAGGCCGTGAAGGGCAGCAGTGGGGCTGGGGACACTGGGCTCTGGAAGACACGGGGGAGTGTCGGGGCCTCAAGGCTAGTGGGGCTCAGAGTTTTGGGTGTGTGGCTGGTGGGGCCACAGGCTGGGGCTCAGGAGTTCTGGGGGGCTGATAGGCTCCTGTGGGCTAGGGCTACAGGGCAGCTAGGGCTACAGGGTGTCAGGGACACGCATGAGTTCAGGCACCTGTGAACAGAAAAAAGGAAGTGAGTCAACATCCCTGAGCTCCAAAATAATTGGCTTTAGGCTGAGAAGCACTGTGGAGGTGGCCTTGTAAACAGTGACACCAGAGGGATTAGGGCGGGGTCAGAAGAGACGAGGTGGGTGGGACTTGTGCACCCAGATTGCAGGGTGGTGGTGGGCAGTGGGATGGAGCCTGAGGGGCCAGGGTGGGGCCTGGGAATTGGGGGCCAGCACCAGGTCATGGAATGGGTCTGGAGAGCTGGGGCAGCACCTGATATCCTGCGGTGGGGTCTGCTGCAGTGAGGTGGTGTGGAGAGCTGGGGATGGGGAGTGAGGTACGAGACCAAGGGGCAAAACAGGAGAGCATCCCAGCCCGCGAGGAGCCTACCTCAAAAGAGTCCGCAGTCTTTGAGGTTCTCCTTGATGATGATGTCTGTGACGGCGTCGAAGACAAATTTGACGTTCTGTGTGTCGGTAGCACAAGTCATATGGGAATAGATCTCCTTCACGTCGCGTCGCATGTTGAGCTCGAGGAACTGCACCTTGATGTAGTTGCCCGCGTCCTCGTATGTGTTGGGCCCTGGCAGGGAAAGGGGGTGCTCTCACTAGGCGTCCCCACTCTTTCAAGCGGCGGGAGAAGCGCAGGCCCAGATTACGGGGTTGGGGCGCCGCCTGGCGGCCAGGCTGCTGGGGGGGGGCGGTTCTCACCGTCGTAATCCGGGAAGCAGATGCTGAGATGCGCCTTTTTGATCTTCTCGGAGAAAACGTCCTTCTTGTTGAGGAAGAGCACAATGGACGTGGTGGCGAAGTAGCGGTGGTTGCAGATGCTGTTGAACAGGTGCAGGCTCTCGTGCATGCGGTTCTGAGGAGGGCAGAAGCTGTCGGGCACCGGGTGGGGGGGCACGGGGAGCCGTCCCTGCGCGGTCGCGGCCCACAGGCTCCGGGGCACCCGGGGCCATCCCGCTCGGACAGCTCCAAGTCAGCTTCCCCCACTGCCCCCCTCAGCGTGGCTGCTGGCTGTCTTGTGTCCTCATTCGGACTGTTCTGGAACGAATGTCCGCTCTCAGACGCTCCCCGCTCCCGCAGTACTGTCTCCAGCTTTCCCCCGAAACACTCCAGGCCCTGCTTGGCACCCACCACTTCGTCGTCCTCCACCAGCACCATGTCGTAGGCGCTCAGCGCCGCGATGAAGATGATGCAGGTCACACCCTCGAAGCAATGGATCCACTTCTTGCGCTCTGAGCGCTGCCCGCCCACATCGAACATCCTGTGGAGCAGTTGGGGCCTGAACCCGCGCTTGGAGCCCCCAGGACGCGCCCACAGGCATCCCCTTGCCTCTTAATGCTGGGGGGCACTCAGATGGGACTGGCATGTGGAGAGGCCGGAACTTTCTGCGGGCGGGGTATCAGAGAAGGGGCAGTGTCTCCTTGGGATGGGGCCTCCGGGACGCGATGGGGCCTCGGGGCGCTGCACTCGCAGCCAGACCCCCAGAGCGAGGGCAAGGGCGAGGGCGCGGGCGCGGGGCCGTACCGGAAGTGGAGGTCCTTGAAGGAGAACTGCGTCTCAATGATGCCTGTGGTCTTGACACGCGAGCGCAGCACATCCTGCTCAGTGGGCACGTAGCCCGGGGTGACCAGGCGCTCCAGGTCCGAGAGGTAGCTGCGGGAGACCGCGGGGTGTGGGTGGGTGCGGTGGAGGGGTGTGGTAGGACCCCGCCCGCACCCCCGCGCCCCGCCTGCGCTCTCACTAGCCCGCGGAGTCGTTGAGCTGGTACTCAGAGGCGCGTTCGAAACAGGCCTGGATACCCGAGTCCTTCCACAGCCTCTGGATGATGTCCGACATCTCCTTGGGCATCGTGCCCTCTTCGATGGTGTCCGCCATGTGCATCAGCTTCCGGGCGTCGTCCTGAGGGCAAGGGTGGGAATTGTTGATGGTGACCGTGGACTTGAGACCAGTCTCGCGCCTCGAGTCCCCGGAGGCCCTGCTCAGCCAGTCTCCCTGCACACCTGGCGGGCAGAGTCTCCATACTGGATGTTGAGCGTGGTCATGGCGCGCACGATGGCGAGGATGGACTGCAGTGTGTTGCCGTAGATGATGGCAATGAACTCGAGGCACTCTTCCAACGAGTACCCATCCTGGTGGATAATCCTGCGGCCGGGGTGAGCCGGGTCAGAGCCAACTGGACTGGTGGGGAAGGACAGGCCCCGTGCTCGCGCCCACCCTCAGGGACCTCAGAAAAGGCAAGGGCACTCACTTCATCTGCTTGACAATGGTGCTCTTCCCGGACTCACCCGCACCTGGAAGGGAAGCCCCGCCTCAGAGCTGCTCTGGCCGCACCTCCCCACAATCTCCCCACCCACCCTCCACCCCGCAACCGGGCGCGGAAGATGGGGACCCGCAGACTCAAAGCAGGTACAAGTCCAACCCCCAGTTCCACCTGTTTCCCCCACCCCCCCCACCCCAAAGCAAGGTCCTGACACCCTGGAGGAAACACGTCTGTAAATGCCAGGAGTGACAGAAGGGGGCCGACGAGGGCAATCAACGACCTCAACTGTGTTGGGGAGCCTCCAAGACCCCTTGTATTTGCATTCTTGATTATTCTGAAACCAAAATAAAGGAACCTGGAGCGCCACGTTGTGGAGGGTTCTGGTACTGCACGCAGAGGATTATTTGACCGGGTCAACCCTTGCTTTTCAGGGGTTGTAGGGAGGGGAGTGTCTCCAAGAGGCTCAGAGGGAATTAGCGCCTTTGAATGGGGGAGAAGACAGAGCTCACAGCCCCTATGAGCCTGCTCTCTGCAGGGCTTTGGGCACAGTTAATGGGATTTCTGGCTTAGCCTCTGTCTCCCTGGGGTGCTCTGGCTTGGTCCCTCTGCCCACATCCAGATGCCTGATTGGATCCTGGAGAGCCTGGGGTGGAACTCGCCTGCTGTCTCAAAACAGCTCCTTCTTCCTCTTGTGGGGAGGTAGTGGCCCAGAAGCACTGTGTCAGCCCCACCTCTCCTCACCACCCATGGGACCATGGACTTGGCTTTATCCATTCTCCACTGGGCCTTAGTAGCTCTAAAGAGGGACACCCTCTTTAGGTCTGCCAACAACAAAGCTCTGGAATCTAAGGGCCGTTGTCTGTGGATCTGGACGGTCCTTGAGGATGCCCACTCCCAGGAGGACTGTTACCTTCTTCTTCCAAGGAAGCAGCCCTATTGTAGGGCTCCCAAGGAAGCCCTTGGTTTCTGACCCCTGCCCAGCAGGGCTTCTCCAGAGGGGAAGGTGCCTGAGTCAGGGCCCTCTGGAGAGGGGTTCCATGGGATACCCAGCCTTGGGGAGTCAGGGTATCGCCTATCAGGGCCAGGGCTCCCAGTCAGTTCCCTGCACTGTCTTAGGGTCATTCTGCTTCCCAAGTCACCCCTGTTTCACAGAAGGGCTACCTGCCTGCCCCCACCCCTGGCCTCCGACCTGGTGGCGGTGGCCCCACCTGGACCCACACCCATACCCAGAAGCAGCAGTTTCACAGTTCGAGCATCCTTCTCAGCATCTTCTTTTAGCCTCTTTTCCAGCTCTCTTGAGTGCTTCTCCTCAGCGCTGGCCCCAGCCCCCATGGTCCCAGCAGCAGGTGAACAGGGTGGTTAGTTGGCTCTTCTAGATGGAGGGGATCCCCAGAGCCGGGCTCGGGCCGGCCTCAGGTCTCCCAACACCCTTCTGACTCCGGGACTGGCAATCAACTGGCTTTCCCCAGACCTGTGCAGGCCCGGGTGATGCTGCTTAGTGGGATTTGGGGGCCAGGGGTTCCCAAGAGCCAATGAGAGACAAGGACAGGTGAATCCAGCTCAGCCCCCAGCCCTTCTAATCAGGCTGGCATGGCCCCAATCCCTCAGCTGCTGACTTTGCACCCCTCTCTACGAGCCCCAACCCTCTAGGAGAGACCGTGGAGACAGTCCAGCCCCTGCACCGGAGCAGGGAGACACGTTCCGTAGGGTCCAGGCTTCGAAGGGGGAGAATAGGACCCTGAGCCCCTAGGGTAGGGGCAGGGAGGTGGGGCTGGTAGCAGGGAATAGAGGGAGAGCCAAGCGTGGAGCACCTGCCCACGTCCAGCACTGGACCCAGCACTGCTCCTTATTTTGTAAGCTCACATGGGCCCTGGTGGATGGGCACCCACGTCATCAGCCCCATTCTACTGATAAGGAAGGAGAGGCTCAGAGGGTCACACAGAAGGAAGTGGTTGAGAAGAGCTCGGTGACTCTGGACCAGGGTTCTATGCTCTGCAGGGAGTCAAGAAGGAAGGGAGGACATTGCATTTGCCCTGTACAGAGGGCTGGATCTCACCTGGGCAGGGCCTCTACATACCTCCACGACTCCAACAGACTTGGCGGGGGGTACTGCATGTCTGCTGTGTGTGCCTGGGTGTGTGTGTGTCTATCCTTTGCTGGCAACAAACAAAACAATGACATGTTTGTTCATGTGTACACTTGCATGTACACCCGTGCCTTGGGAGCACATGTGTGCACGTGTCGACACGCTTTTGTTCCTTCTCTTCCTCATGTGCACACGTGCACTTGGGTGTTTGTGTATGGATGTAAAAACACGCATGCATGAGCCGGTGTGTGTGATAGCGTGCACGAGCCTGTGGTTTTCGCCTGTGCGTGTGTACACTTATGCATGTGCACGCCTGTATGTGTGCTCACTTGCGCGTGCATGCCTGTATGTGTGCACACTTGCGCGTGCCTGTGCCTATGTGTACACGTGTGCCTGAGCGCAACAAGGTCTCTGACATGCAGAGATGGCCAGGCTCTTCCAGAGCATATTTTGCAGGCCTGTCATCAGATGGGGAAAATGAGTCCCAAGGCAGGTGCTCCCAGGGGCACGGAGGAGGGACTCACTTCCTGTCCCTCTCCTGATCTGTTCCCTGTGGGTGTCGGAGACCTGCTTAAGGGCATGTAGGGCATGCCTGCCTCAGCTGAGGGGGTCTAGGGTCTGTGTATAGGTTCAGACGGGACAAGGAGTACTGCTGGGTGGAAATCGTTCAATTAAGCCTAAAGTTCCCAGGCTCTGGAGATTTTTCACCACCTATAGGAAGACCCAAACCCTGGGCTCCCAAGGCTCCCTCCAGAGACCCTGAGCCTTCTGGCTGGACTCCTCCTGGAAACCTGGCTGCCTTGTAGTACTCAACTCTGTTGCAGACCCAAGAGACCACGAGGGGGTGCCAGGGCCTCAGATCCTGAGTAGTGGAGACTGTCCCCAAGCCTGTGGGAAATGGATACTGGCTCCTACCAGAGGCTGGTGGCTTCACATCTACCCTGCTGGGTGGGCAGGTGGGGTCTGTCCAGAAACAACAGATTATCTGTGCCACTTTCAGCTTCCAGGTTCCATCCATCCTCCACTCCCCACGTTGTGAGTCGGCCCTGGGGGTGGGGGTGGGGGTGGCTCTGCAGCCCCTAGGGATTTGGGGCAGTGCAGGAGCCCAGGTTTGTTACACCAAGGCAAATCTGGTTTCTGCTTATTGGGTTTACTTAGAGTGGGGCCATCCACTGTCTCCCAGTCCCCCTCTGGCTCCCCTTGCCCACCAGATATGGCTGTAAGCCCTGCTGGACCCATAGGCCTCCCCAGCTCTTAGCCTCCTCTGCCAGGGCTTGACTCATTAAATTTGGATCAGAGCCCGCAGCCCCACTTTCTCCTGTCCAGCAGCACCCCACCTGCCCTGGCCTTCCCCACCCGTGGACATTTGCTCATGCCAGTTCCTCTGCTGAGATCCGGCTGGAAGGAAGCAGGAAGGTTGGGAATTTTGTCAGTTTTCAGGGTGGGGGCAGCCAGACTGTGAGGGCTGTAGCCTGTCTTGCCGATAAGGAGTCCTTAGCGCCTGGCACAGAGCCCACTGCAAAGCCAGGTGAGAAACCAACGATCAAATCTGTGAGTGAATGGAAGCTGAGCTTGCAAGAGAGGCGTGGGAATGGTGGTCAGGCCACATAAAGGGGGGCAGGAAGGACAGAATGTGGGCATAGGCCAAACCCCCATCCTCCCTCCACTGCCAAGGAGAAAAGCCAAAGTCCAGTCCCAGAGCCAGTGTTTATTAGCAAGATGGAACCCAAGGGCAGCTGTGGCCTGGGCAGCCGAGGGCCACCGGGAGCCCCTACCCACCTACCCCAAAAGCCCCCCAGAGCTATTTACACCCATCCTCTGAAGTGGTGGGCAGAAGGGAGCCCTGGGGAGCCCCTGAAGGCCCCAGGCCTCCACCATGGCCCCCTCTCCCCTCAGCCCTGCCTGTACCTGCCCCTCTGCTGTTCTCCCAGCCCCCAAGTCACAGTGGCCCAGAAAAAGCGAAGAGGAGGTAGAGCGGCCAGGCAGGGAGGGAGGGAGGGAGGGGCTGGAAGTGTGCCCCACCCAGGCAGGGCTCCTTTGCTCCTGTCCCCAATAAATAGAGAATAAATACCCAGGAGGGGGCTGGCCTTGACTGAGCGTCCCCTCCCAGGCAGGGGCCGGCCTCCTGTGGCGGCCCCTTCTTCCCTCCTCCGGGTGCATCTGAGCCCCCCACCCCCGCTGCCCGTCTCCAAAGCAGTCCTTGCACCCGCGTCGGCGTGTGCTGGTGGTACAGCTTGACAGCACGCACTGGCAAAGAGGAGTGGTCCGTGCCCTGTCCAGGGGGAGCTTGCTCCTTCCCTGGGTCCTGCGGATTCCGGCGGTGGCGGTCGAGCAGGTGGACTCCCAGCTGAGTCCGGGGGCTGCGCGGTCCCGGCTTGGTGCCGCCGACTGGCTGGGCCTGGTCAGGTGGGCTGTTTTCGGCCATCTCGGACAAGCGTGGGTCTGAGTTTTGGACAGTGCCGCCGCTGAGGCAGGCCGTATACAGCCCACCAATAAATACTGTCTTTGCAGGGGCAGGGCGTGTATAGAATATAGATATTTTATATATATATATTTATATATATATATATCTTTTATATTAAAAGGGACAAGGCCGAGGCTGGCCCACCGCAGGGCTCAGGCAGCGGGCCTCATGTGTCCGGCGGGTGGTGGCGGCGGTTCCGGGGCTTTTTCTGGTCCTGGGGTTCAGGAGGCCTGGGTGCCCCCGGGGCCTCCCGGGGGCTTGGGGGCACGTGGCGCCAGTAGCCCTGGCAGTACTGGTGGATGAGGCCCACTTCTGGCTGGGCCAGCAGCTGGGCCAGCTCCTGGTAAGCGGGCGTGGGGAGGCCGGCGCCGGGGGCCGGCGGGGCGCTCACAGCTGGAGGTGGGAAGAGGGCCGCGTGGACGGCATCCCGACCCAGTACGTGCAGCTGTACCCGCGTGACGATGTGCTTGAAGTTGTTCTCGGTGGCGGTGCAGGAGTAGAGGCCACGGTCACCGGGCTGCAGGGCGCGAAGCAGCAAGCCCTGCTCGGTGCGCAGGAAGCGGTCCTCTGCGCGAATCTGTGGGGGCAGGGAGCTGGGGCTCAGGGCTTGTGTGACCGCCCTGCCACCCAGCCAGCCCCCCGGAGCAGACCAGTTCTGTGGCCGTTCCGTGGAAGGGGCTCCCATGTGCAATTTCCACATAGCAAGAAAAACGCACAGTAAGTTTCCACATAACATCTGAATAAGGCACCCATGTACTTTTCCATTTCAGGAGGAAGGATCGTGAGGGGATGCTGTACAATGAGAGAATTTTGGAGCACAGAATTTCTTTTTAATGGGAATACCCAACCGAGGTATCCTTATAGAATCTCCATGTAAGGACGGATGCCTGGAACACATTTCCCATAAAACAAGGGCTCCTCCACAGAATTTCCACACACTGGAGCTCGTCCACATGATATTTCCATGTAATGAGGTATACCTCCAATGGAGCACATGTATGGAATTTTCATGTAAAGAGGCATGCTTAGGGCGGCTGGGTGGCTCAGTTGGTTAAGCGACTGCCTTCGGCTCAGGTCATGATCCTGGAGTCCCGGGATCGAGTCCCGCATCGGGCTCCCTGCTCAGCGGGGAGTCTGCTTCTCCCTCTGACCCTCTTCCCTCTCGTGCTATCTCTCATTCTCTCCCTCTCAAATAAATAAATAAAATCTTTAAAAAAAAAAAAAGAGGCATGCTTATAAGTGGTTTCCATATAATATGGAAATTCTAGAGTTTCCATATAACTGGATTCACCCAAATGACTTCCCCATAGGGAAGGGGAACTTGGAAGGGCTTTCTTAGAATGGGGCCGCCGCAGAAGGGCTCCTATACCACATTCCACCCACATGGCACTCCTACTGCACGGGGGACCCCCGCATCCACAGCGAGGACTGTGGGGTACAGGAAATCACCTCACGGCGCCGGTCACTGGGATCTCGCTGAAACAGCCACTTAACAGTGGCCTGGGGCGAGCGAGGCTGGCACTCGAGGAAGGCCGCGCTACCTGCCACACCGTACTGCACGGACTCCACGGTGTTCTTGTTGGCTGTAGAACAAGAGGGCGCGGCGTGAAAGCAGCGTTGCCTCTGGGCAGACTGTAGACCACCAGGGGGCCGGTGCCGAGGGGCACACACAGGGACACCCACGCGGGAAAAAGGCAGGGCTATACCATCGGGCATCCGCTCCTTCCTTGAGTGGGTGGCTAGGGACATCCCATCTCCCAAATCCCAAGCCCCCTTACCTGCCCCCCAGCCCCGGGTCATGTGAGAGTCCTTCCGGTGGGGGGACCCTGGGAGCAGCTCCATGGGCTGCACAGGGCTCTGCACCACGAGGAGCGCCCAGGGGTGAGG